CAACGATATACTGATTCTCACATAAGCGAATTGTTATACTATATCGTTGTTCCCTGGACAACTAAGCAACCTGTTGGATGGAAGTATTTTTATAGAATGCTTCTTGATATGAATGTGCCTAAAAATTTGTTCTCTTCAAAAATATATAATTTGAAATCAACAAACGCTAACAAACGTGTTAAAGTGAAAGCAAAGAAGCATAGAGCAAAACAAACATCTAAATGGTTAACATGGACATCTCGTAGTAGGGACTAATTTTTCAATCAATCAAACAAACAAACAAACAATCAATCAAATTAGTTTAGATCATTAATTCATTTTATTAAGAAGAACTAGCTAATTGCGCAAAGACAATGTAGAGACTATACAAATGTATTTCTATAGCATATTATATACATATGTTTATATTGTACACAAATAGAAAATTACACAATCAATCGAACGTACATTTGCAAAGTGTATATGGTTCACACCTTGTATTGTCATGAAAAAAGTTATATATTTATTTTTCAATTGATATTGTGACTGTATGTTATATATACATCAATCTGGTGAAACATGCAAAACTGTTATTGCTTGAACACTGTTCTATAAAAATCACTATATGTACATGCTAATTGTAATGATAAAATATCAAACAATCAATATAGCTTGTATTATGTACATAGTTTTGTTGAAACATATACAATATTGTTTTGTTGTTGTTGTTGTTGTTAAAGTATACACTATATAAAATATAGAACTTATAGTATCCAGGAAAATAAAAAACAGTTTTTAACTCAATGAAAAAGCTGATTAAACATGGTTTCCATTAATATTTTTCTATGGGTGTGACAGTAATATCGAGTGGTTCAGTGCTGCGACCATCATCACTGACCTTGCGTTTCATGTAGAGATAGGAGAAGCCTTTCCTATTCATGTTGTATGTGTATATGGAATTGTTTTTAGCTTGAAATCCACGGTTCAAAGTAGGTTCATTGATCTGAGACTTGAGGGCTTTTTCGAAACTTTGAAGCGGATTTATTAGTGAATGCTTATTGAGACCTTTCGTTGATACTTTATCAGGATTATCGGGTGACTCTGAATCGGTGACTATGTAGGTTTTTGAGCAAAGACATATCATGCATGAACCAGTCTGTTCGTGTTTCATAAGACCACTCTGTCGCTTGTCGAACATTATGTGTTTTTGACAACATGTACGCGGGAACCATTCTGGGGTAATGTCGTCGGAACATTGATTGGTTAACATGTTAAGATATTTTTGCTTGTGTGAAGGTTTCATGGCGTCAACCAAGTCATGTTCAGATAAAGCGAGATACAACGAGTCCGTATCAGTTTCCATGCATTGGAACTTGTTATGATCGAGATACTCGTAAATAAAGTCATAAAAAAATCTCAGCATATGCTCTTTCGCGTGATTTAAAATAGTATAGCCTAAGTAGACGGGAAGGTTCAACTTCATTTGTTTTTTAGCAGTTTCTAGTTCAAAAATTGGATCATCCTCGGGATTGAAGGGATCTTGAATAGAAGTCAAATTTCTAAACTGTGGAGTGTTAATGAGGCGTCTAATTTCAAATTTATTTTTCCTAAAAAAATGATCTTTAAACCTTTCTTGACACGTGAGAAGGCTCCCGTAAGCACTATTTCCGATAAGTTTTGCGATAAGACTAAGTAATTCAAAATCAGGGTTAACATCCCCTTGTCTTCGCATATCGGAAACGTACTTAACGAAATCCTTGAAGCATGACATACGATCAAATTCAATCACTTGGTGAATTTTTTCTGTTTGCAACCCGTGCTCTACGTACCATCGATAGAGACTGGTGGTGATTAGTATTTTTTTGGCCGACATAGCACCTACTAACATAGGTTTGGGTTTCTGTGAAAGGTTTTGATCTTTGATATAATCCTGCATATGTTTGCTTACATCCTCGAATTTAACCTCAGAGGTACAAAAAATAGGTGAGAATTCTTTAAAATAATCCCAAGGTGTAACATCTCTACCGAGTTGACGGTGGGCTTTTGTTTTTAAGTGTTCATTCGGCCAAGTTTGGGGAACTTTGATATCAACTTCTACCATTCCAAAAAGGGTATCATCCAGAACAGCATCTGTAATGTTTTGAATATCATGAATTTCTCTGGGATAACGTTTGTGAAATGGTAGACGTTTCGATTTTTCAAAATCAAATAGAGTAATATTTTCACCGGAAGGAAGACGGCGTCTAGCTGATTTGTTTTTTGAAGCTAAATCTGCCCTGAATTCGCATTCGTGTTTTATAATCAACTTGTAGCCTTGACTCTTGATGAAACTATTACGTTTTTCAGTGTTCACTTGTCTCAATTGAAATTGTTTCCGACCTTCGTCTGTAGACTGCGCGTTTTTGGTCAACCAACAATCGTGACCGTGGAAGTAGCAACCATCGAACTGCAAAACAGTTTTATTGGCGCTTGAAAACGCATCGCATGGATACGTACCAACGTAGACTTCCTTCCCGCCATTATTCATTCGATATAAGTAATCATTTTCAGGTAGTAGATTTTCCCATTCAATCCATGTGTACATCATTTCAAAACGTTCATTTTTTGAAACTTGGAAATTGTTTTCTGCCTTTCTGACATTGAAACGATTGACTGGCATTTCACGAGTAAGACTATGCAAATATAAAGCGTTAGCATCTAAGCCAACGATCCGTTCACACGGGAATTCTGAATTATTCCTTATAAAGGTTTCTCCCTTTTTATGAGCTCTATTAAAAATAATACTCGGTCCACCTATGATATTATTTTTAATAGTTCTATAGGTATCCGAGAATTTTGAATTGAAGAGAGGGAAATGTGCCCCTGCTTGCTCGCCATATCTGAACAATATGCGTTTTGCAATGCCAGGTAAGGAAATGACATCGCGAAGCATATCAATGTGTTGATCACGATACATTCTCACCATTTTTTCTACAGCTGAACAAAAAGGTTGAACATCTAAATTGTTATACCATTCCAAGAGACTTTGAATGTTGCGAGATTCTTTCGGTAAACTTTCCCAAACCTCTAACATGAAATTATAGTTTTGTTCTAAACTCGGCGGTTCATTTCCCCGTTTACCATTTTTTATCCATTCTAAATGATCCTCTTCTAATGTATTGCATTGTTTCAAAGTTGAATAAAAATGATGTTTTTCGGGCATTGTATCGAGTAAAAGTTGAGCGGGATTTTCAAACCATTCATACATCCAGAATCCCTTGTTGACTGGGATTTTAAATGTTTTCAGAAACTGTTTATAGGACGTACCTGGTGGTAAATATGAACTGATATCCAGAAACTTGAAACCATTTTTAGTCGAGATGCATTGATAAGCATTGTTCTTTTTAACTAAAAACTGGAGATTGTTATCGAGATTCAAGGCTTTGGGAAGGTATTGTTTAAGCAATGGAAGGTCGTAACGACTAGAATTAAATCCTATAATGATTAATTCTTTGAGATAATTATAAAACTGAGTTTTTATGTGTTTCAGTTTTTTGGCAATTTGTTTGCGACTCGAATGCGAAAGACTATTCACATTATGTACATTGGGAAGTTTGGGGTCGTTATCTCGAACACTGTGTTCTGATTCTGTATCTGAAATGTCACTAGACAGTGAGTCGTCATTATCAGAGCTACTCGGAGCTGAGCTTTCCGAGATGAGATGTAGTCTTTTTTGAAAACTATACCAGCTATTGGTTTGATTTAATTTGCATTGAAATTGAAGTGTACCATAAGGATCGCTTAGATCCTCTGGATCACTTGTATCCGAGTTTTCTGCAGGTGGTGTATATTGCTCTATTAACAAATCTAACGATTGTATGTAAGTGGAGTATTTATCTAGTTGACTTTCAAAAAATGTGCTCTGAATAGCTGCTAGCTTTTCGAGCATCGTTTCAACAAGATCGTATGGATTGTTACCATTAACAATGCATTGGGGTTCTGTATGTCCCGGGATATTTGAACACAAACTGACCGATACGGGAATATGCTGATGAGTTAATGTGGTTGATGTAGTCTCAGTGCTGTTTTCCTCGAGGGGTTTCAAGTAACTCTCAAAATCAAAGCAAACAAAACTTTCCGAGAATCTTTCATTTTGATCTACGTGCACGCCTATCTCGTCCAAGGTTTGAAATATAGATTTATTAAGCGTCCAATACCCCCCTGGATATTTATAATTTGATTGATTTTTACAGACACGTTGATGCTTGTTTCTACTATCTAAACGAGAGAATAACTTATCACACGTTCCACATTGAAATTTTTTAGCAAATTTGTTGATATCTCGTATGTAACTCAAATGATCTTCGAAAAGATTGCAATGCATTATTGTAGGGAACTGATCGCTACTATGGTACAAACTTTGAGCTGTAGCGATAGATTGAAGTTCATAAATGAAGACGGATGTTTGGAAGCATTCTTCGAAAAATGGAATATCCTTCAACTTAAAACCTTCATAGTATGTATAATTTTCAGGTACTTGAATGTGCTGGACATAATCATTGTCAATTACGTACTGTCTCCATTGATGATACATAATTCGAACTTGATGCTCAAAAGCTTTTACTGGAAGCAATGGTGTACCCTTGGCAAGAGTTAAAGCCCTGAACACACATAGATTGTCTGAATAATGCGTGTTTGTATTAGGCTTTTTTGTCAATTTGATAATAGACTTGTTATTTTGAATATAATCGGGTAGATTAACCCGACTGTTTGATATGATGTAATCAGTTTGATACACTAGATAATGAATGTTAGTGATGAGAGCAGCTTTCCACTTTGTAGATTCCTTTAAAGGCTGTGTAAAATTTTCGAGTGATAATTTTTTTATTTCTCCTCTGGCCGTTTCCAGTTCTGTAAGATTTGAGACAAGTAGCGGAATTTCAAATTGGAAATTATTGGGTCCTGCAGCAAAGTATCTATAGCGCCCCGTCTCAATATTTTGGAGAATCATTGAAACCGTCATATTGAATTTAAAGGATGTGGATTGTTGCTGGTAGACAAAATCAAAAAAATCAACCAGATCGTTGCTAGAGAGATTCGGGGGTGTAGGGAAATTGTAAATGGAAACCATATCGTTCACCTTGTCATTAGCTAAAATAAGTTTTTTATTTACCAGATATTCTTTCTTTAAATGTTCATCCTGGGTGCCATCGTCCATGATCCATGGTGCATCATTCTCATCGGTCCATGGTGTTGATTTGACGGACCCGCCGACTTGAAAATGATGTTCCATGCGATGACGGTGCAGCTCTCTCCTGTTTTCGAAACTGGATGAACATCTCTTGTTTCTGCATTTATATTTTTCTGCAAAGTAAATGATAAAATATTTAAAAGAATCCCGTACAGTATATGTAAACTACACAATACAATCAGTGTACATACAGTAGACATAAAACTGTGTACACTATAGACAGGTGTTTACTACAGAAAGGATATTTCATGAGTGGAGTATGTGTTGAAAATGGGAGATCACTCGAGAAAGGTGTTCATTAAGACAGGATTAACTACATATATTTTACTCATGCTAATTGATATAATTAAAAATCTCTAAATACCTATAAGCATTACGCACTTGGTAAGCTCTTTATATTAAGGGTATCATCATCATAATCATCATCATTTTGCCAAGCGAGGGTTGCGTCCCTGATTTCATTCAACTCCTCCATCTATATTTAAAACAAAAAATTAGTAATGTTTTGTTTAGAACCTTAATTATATCAATGATATAGGAATGGTATAATGATATTAATAATATGCTATCACTATGCAACCTGTAATGTATTTAAAAAAAAATCTAAATGTCTTTTTGATAATGGGCATGCGTAGAACCTGATCTATGTATTGAACTTACAGTAAACTGCATTTTCTTTTTTGGGGGAGGGGGACTCAGAGCTGGGAGGGGTTCTTCTGATTTCCTTTTTCTCTCTGCTTGGTTCGTTTTTTGAGATGACAACAGCTTGGTTAGTTGCATCTAGATAAACATAAAATCAAACTATCGGTTACTATTTGTTACTTGTTAATGTTAGTGTATGTAAGAATGATTTCAAAGGGCTGGACATGATAGGATATGTTAATAGAAAGTAAAGAAAATAGGTTGACAAACTTACTTGATTCTCTATGAGCACTTTTAAGTGCTCGGATTGTTGTTGAGTGGTCAACAGCAGCTGTTTGAGAAGTTCGTTTCTCTCTGTATCAGTTGATGATATCAGGGAGAAAAAATCATCTCCATTTTGTTGTTGACCGGAAGTTGACGAGGAGACTTGTTTCCCATCCAGGTCGTCTTCCCTATACAACGGTGACGTTGGTGGGGCATCGTCTGGTAAGGAGGTATGCTCGGCTACCTCGTGGTTCCAGAGGGCCGAGCGAGATGTAAAAACAACTGGACATTCCTGAAAAATGATATGCATTTTTATATTCATCTCTGTTATCTTGGTTCACAATGTATTGTCACAATATATTTACGGTTATCTAGTGGATTTATAATTTACGTTTTGCAGAGTCAATAATGTAACACTTACTGGGCAATTGTAAGTACGCCATGGGCGTATGACGGGTTCGTGGTCCTCGAGCTCTATAACTGGGGAATCATCTATATTATTGGGAACGGCATCCACTAACTCAAGTGTTATAGGGGAGGGGGGTTTAGGCGCTATGATATCGACTGGCTGTTTTTTCTGAAATGCAATGAGTAACTATAACTATTATACGCTTAAATTCCAATTATTTCAAGAATGCCAATTATTGAATATATCCTAAACAATATTGGAATTGTGATCGAATATTGGATTAACAATTAAAGGATTATTCTATTAAATGTTACATAGATAAACAAAAAACGTAACGATCACGGACTCTGTTAAAGGAATATGTTATCTATACATGTTAGCATTAATTTTGAATCAGCAACACACTTTAATGATTATGAATTCCATAAGGAAACGTTCTACTCACGGACGTTTTTCTTTTGGGTGGATTTTTTACTGGTTTTTCTTTTGGTGGTTCTATCACCACATCAGGGGTACTGCTTGATCCTGCTGATTCACCAAGACAAGCTTGACGTTGATCCTACATAAAGCAATAATATCTCAAATAAACATTACGGTTACAAAATGGGGGTTCACGTGAATAGAAAATACACCATGCATGCAAGGTGTATCAATTAAGATGGTACTTTCGCAGATTAATTTATTGAGTGCATATTAACGAATCAAAAAAATCTGAATTGTGAAATCATAAATTATCATTACTTCTCTATAGCATTTGAAATATGTCACGAACAAATCCACAGCTTACTAAAGCCTATTAAAGTACTCCATGTTCTTCTATTTTATATTTTAAATGATACAAAGTAATCCATTCCTGTAAATTGCATTCGATCTGAAATTCTCAAATATACTTTTCACTACACAAGATTTTTTCATTTACACACTTAATGAGAAAAAATGTTTAGTTTAAAATGAAATACAGTAAACTGAATAACAATGATCATGATTCGCAAATGCGGTAGAATAAAATTTTTACTTACATGTTGATAGACTTGGCACTTCCACATGTGTCGTCTCAAAGTATCAATTCTCTTAAATAGTTTTTTGCAGCCTGGACATTCATGTTGCGAGGGAACATGAACGCGATTTAAATGCTTTGTCAAACCATTCAACGTACTGAATGGTTTTGCGCAAATCTCGCATGAGTGCTTCATGGGATCCATTCTGCAAGTAGTGTCAATGCATGTGGGACACGTGGTATTTATAGTAAAACACGCGTTGCATAAGCTACATCTTATCTTCAATGGTATTTACAATTCTTGTGTAACGAAAGATTATAATGGTTAGTCATTCAAGTATGTGGGATGTGGATCAAAGAATCGCATGTTTTATCAATTTCAACGTGATCATATCGAGATGAATCAAATGCGGATAAACTAGGAAGATTGTTTTTATCAGTTACACCATGGACACCCAGAGATGATTCAAAACAAACTATCTCCAAGATATAATATGCAATATTGCAAATGTGCACTTACTGAATGTAATGTCAATCTAATATAAACATCTTAAGACTAGTAATTCAAAGAATGATAGAATGAGAGAGGGGTCGGTTAAGATACGCGTTTTTTAAAAAATGATTTTGTCTTTGAACGTATTCGTGTTCCCGCGTATGCTGTTTACTCGGTCGGTTGACTATAATAGTAAACTATTTGTAATTGGAAAAGAGAATTAAGAGCGGGACAGTTATCCCGGGGATTGAAATATTACACGCTCACACCCAGGTTCACTAAAAAACGTGTAACTTGACTTGACCATTTGCGAATACATTGTTTGAATAACTCCCAAATTTGGTCTGGTCAATTAGGTTTGTTCACAACAGTTGAATGTAGTACATTGTATGCAACTATTCGAGAAAATGGAGTTTGTAAAATGTCCCCTAAAGTGTGTTTGTGAGAAATATAAATATGGCTACGTCTTATCTTGTGAGGAATCGTGGAGGTGTAAAGATTTCCCGCATGAAATCGTCGGTGGAAATTGTATTCAGCATCATCATACCGAGATGACAAGTGTGGCATCGTATATATCTCCTACGAAGAACGATATAGCCGATGTAACATCAAATAACGGAAACATGGAAATCGTATACATTGGCGTAGCATTCGGAATAATACTTTGTATCATCATAGCATTTGTTCTAATAGGTAGGATGATATGTTTGATCTCGGCAATTAATGATAACTGAGAAAATAATTCATTGAAATTAAACCCCAATTAAGTATTGTTTGATATTACCCAATTGATTTTAGCTATATAAACAGTTTACAATTCATACATCATTAGCTTCAACTAGTATAGTGTATTAATCATAACTACTACTTAGGGTATTTCGATTTAAATGTAATCCAAATATGTTTTTATGGAAATTTCAGTGAGGGTTTGGCTGAGAAAAAGGATTAATTGGAGATGGCGTCATCAGGATTTAATGGAGTCACCAACGTCTCCCGAATCTATAGCAACTACGTTCAGTAATCTGAGTGATATTAACTGGGCCACACTACAGCTCCCCTATCAATGTAACGTGTGCCAAAAGAACTGTACGTCACGTATTGGTTTGATAAGTCACATGAGGGCACGTCATGCTAACGAAGATGAAACAGAACTTTAGAACTCTCTCTTTATTAACACACTAGTTATAGTCTGAAATATTGATTTGTTTCATTTCGAAAATATCATAAATACACATTACTCCAAATATTCTGATACCAGTTTAATCAAGGTGAACTGGGAGTATACAAACTTCATATCATACTGGTTTAATGTTTTATTTTGTTCAAAGTGGAAGGTAAACATAATTCTGAATAGATATACTTCGCAGAGACTCTAAACATACGTGCTATGGTTATTTAAGAACTATCTTATTTCTGATATCTTCATTTTTAATACTGAAAGGAATTCAATAATAAATCTACAAAATTCAAAGAAATTTCTCAAGTTACTGTTCTTAAGTACTAAGCGATAACATTATTTCATAAATAGGTATTTATATGATGGTGTCATAATAACATTATTATTACTTTTAATTAGGTAACATGCATTTCATAATCTTGAAATATGGTCCAGAGAGACATGTGTCACGAGGCATTGACTGATACGTTATCAGAATGATGAAATGATCGGTCATATTTATGTAAGGTTCCACTATAATGTTGAATGTGGGTTGGACCACAAAAATTGTGGGATATGTGGTCTCTGAGGGGTATGTGGTCTCTGGTTCAGTGGTCTACGGGATTCCTGTCCGCATTCTTTCCATCTTCCACCCCTCTTTACACTACTGACATGTACATTTATATTTACCATGATTAAATTATAGGAAAGTATTATTTTTGTGTTACTAAAGAATGATAACAATTATTACTTTATAATGTATACCCAATATTAATAAACCCCTGGATACATTTAATGGTTGGTTAGTCAATTATAAATGAATGAACATCTACAATGAAAATGACGAGAATACTCAAGTATATAAGAGCAACAACTCACAGAGAAGATCAGAGAACAGCCATAAAACCAGTAAATTTGTTCAAATCAAAATATATCAATTTCCTAGATAAATAATTAATAAGGCAAATCATGAAATAGGAGAAGTTAAGACCAGGCTTTATGAAATGGTATATCATTGTCTGTAATCAATAATGATACGGCTTTGTGATTGCTGAGTGGAGAATACATGCAATCCTACAGCCTATCAGGGTGGAAGACGTGAAAACTGGCAGTAATCGCAACATTATGTTTAGCAATATAAAAAAGTGGAATTTTCCAGGAATTAAGTTAAATAATTTTACTACACTATATTTTTCAACATATGTACTCAGGCTCAAGATGGTTCATTAAATAACATGATAGCATAACATACGATGCATATAATCAGCATTTCAAAAATACATGTAAACATAGAATTCAAATTCTTCATTTTTTTAAACTTCAACAATATGACAAAACTAAATTTTACCACATACATTTACTAATTAAACTGTAACAAGATAAAAGCATTTTCATGATTTGAATAAATGCAGCAAACAACAATTTCTATTAGAAATAATCATACAAAAAAGTTGACATGCCTCGCTTTTACTCAAAACCACAACATATATCATGTAAAATAATTCTTTTCATTCTTTGTTTCTCAAAGCAACAATATGTGACTGTTTATTCTAAAACACTATTGGTTGCACAAATATGATAGAATGCTATGAAAGATAATCACCTTATTCTTGAGGTAAAAATATTTTCAACATTTCTCAATTTTCATTTAAAGAGGGGCAAGAAGGGAAATTAAATTACATTAATTTTATATAAGATATTAAACTTTTGATGCGTAACCTTATTTAGTTAAGAAGTTTTAAAAACATGTCAATACAAGGTGACATGTTATGGATTATGAATTGTTTTTGAATATTACTTTTATTTTTATGACATTGATAAAGTTGACATTACAAATTAAAATCTAAAATCCATATCACGATGTATTTTGTCTTATTTTATCACCAATGACATTGAGTAACACAAAATAAACAAAATGTCAAAGCATATGTTACAAATTACAATCTAAAATTATCTGTATTATTCTGTTTTTTGTTTTCTTTTGTCACATCTTTGAGCCGCTTACTTTTACAGCTTAAGTTTTAAATCTATTCTAAAAATACTCATAATTATCTACAAGGGGCATTTC